TGCACACAGAAGAGATGTAAAAGTTTAAAAGGAAACCCACCTAACAGGCTTCAGAAAGTTACTCACCATACCAGCTGTATGTCTCCAGGAGGTGGTGCAGGAAGCCGTGGCGCACATTAGCGTAAAGGAAATAATAGCTGGAAAGCAGGAAAGAAAGTTCCCCCAGTTGTCCACTTTGAATCTAAACAAAGCCAAACAAAAGCAGTGAGAAGTTAAAATCTTCAAGAAATATCAACTGTAGCTATGATTCCCACAAGATTAGGACTTATACCATATAATATATTGTACTTTATCTGCGGTAATTATAATAAATTACTGTAGTGTTTTTTTTTGCTGAATTTTATTAATATTCATGTTGCGCAGCATGAATTAATGATGGAAGATTCCTAACCAGGCTAGAAGGCAGGTGCGTGATAGAGTTGGCTTCACAGTGAAGGAAGGTATTTTGGCCCCGAGGGTCAGCTTGTGTCCACAGATGAGCTGTGGGAAAAACAAACAAAAAACTCACCAATACATTTACAGTGGTTTACACTCAGTGTACTAAAAGCTAATTATGAGTACTTTACCTGCCAGTGTGAGGTGAGCTCTGGTTTTGTCACTTTCTGTGGGGAGAAAAAAGTCCTCAAAGGCTCGCTTCACCTCCGGATTGGTTAAAGCCAGCAGGTCGTCAGTGTTGTGGCAATGAGATGGACCAATCAGACTGCAGGAAAAGATTCAAGTGCAATGATTATTTAAAACTTTGTAATATAGCTTAAAACTCTAAACACAATCGGATCAAAACCCGAGACAAAAACTTAAAGGGAAGAAAAGGGAAAATAAAGGATATTGTTTATTCTTATTAATATCTGAGTTGTAAAGAAAGAGAATGCAAATAATTACATAATAACAATACAGTATTATCAATTATTAAAGGAAATTCAAGAAACCACACAGACCACTGCCTCTTTTTCCATGAACACAACGTAATATGTCACAAAAATTTAAATAATATGCTTATATGCGCTGGGCTTATACCTTTGTAAACTCTGCACTATGCGGGTGAAGGTTGCCATAGGAATGCGTCCTTTGGGCTCTCTGGACAACTGCAGCACTTCCTGCCATGTGACCCGTCCATCCCGTAAAGACAAATCATTGCATGTGTTCAACACAGAGTATAAATCTCTCTCCTTCAGGCCTGTGGATTAAAGGAGGAAATGTTGAAGCAGAGTAGGTCACTTTAGTTTACGCTCACTCCTCAAATCAGACTTCTGGTTAGAAGGAGTGTATAAACATTGATTGAGCTATTATACATATAAGATGAGATTTATTAAAGTTATTATTATTAAAAACAACAGCAACAAGTTTTTAAATAAGGTTTCATCTTATTTGAAGTGTTTTCCAAAAGTCTGAGGCAACAACTATAAAAGGTACAACGCATTCAATGTGTATACAGCCAGGAAAAGATTTGTGTTTCTGTGTGTGGACAGAGCCTGTGAAACAGTTTAAGTGTGGAGTTGACGCAGTATCCAAACATAAATGACCTCAAAAAAAAGAGGTTATCAGGCGACTAATAAGATAGAAAGAGGAAAATGGTAAATTTCAGTGAATGTCTCTGTTTAGTAAGTTACTACTTCATATTTAGATTTACAATTAAATTTCCAAAAGTAAAGGTATTTAACTTTGATGAGTGGAGGTAAAAGTTATGGTGTTGTAAAAACATGATGATACAATATTAATTTGTATTTTACACCGTGTATGTACTCTGTTATTAGAAATATGTATGTTGTTGTCACTGAAGTTCATATCAGTAATGAAGCTGGATAAATAATAAACGATAACTTATGGAGAAGGTGTGGGATTAAACACTTCCTCCCACTCCTATTCTATATCTATCTATTCTTATTCAAGAATAAATGTGCAATTAACATATGATATTGGGACATCAATCATACCTGTGGTGCTGACAGTGAGTGTAGCCAGGGCCCAGCGGAGTCCCAGCATGCCTCTGTACTGTGAGCAGAGTCTCTGCAGGCTGTACTGCACCAGCTGTCTCAGCGACTGCGGCAAGTCCTGCAGGCTCTCCTTCAGCTAGGACGCAAACACAGAAGCCGCTTTCACACATGAACTCCAGACAATGATGTAGAAAGATGCCTTTTCTTAAATATAGGATGCAACTAGTGTGCACATAAGAAGCTACCTCTGCACACAGGAGGTGGCAGGATAAAGGCCAAACAGGTAAACAACAAATTCTCCTGGCAGTTGGTTACTCTAATGGACTACTGGACATCACATGGTATAAGGAACCGGCAAGTTGACAGATATGGAGGCTGACAGTGAAGTCTAAAGTTTAGAGGAAATGTATACCAAGCAAAATAATTCGCACAACAGTTCATTTGCAGTCAAGCAGATCCTGCACTGGTTTATTGTGGAAGAGAGAGCTGAGTGTGAATGTGTCGATTTACTGGTTAAATTACTTTTCTACCCACCTCCATGTTCCTACATGTAAAATTAAATAAATATTCAAGTATTTTAGTAATCTTCCACTAAACACTGTATTAATATTTCAGCATTTCTTTATTACCTTTATTGTAGTTACGTGTTAAATTAAATTAAATTTTCACATAAATTAAAATACCAGAGAGAAGGGGGCTAAAGTAGTGAGTTCGAACCTTGTCAAAAGAAGCAAAGTTCCTCAGGTCTTCACAAGCCAGGTGCAGGTAAAGAGGACTGACTGCTCCCTTCTTGGATATTAGTGTCTGGAGCTGGACAAACACACACAAGCATGACATGGTGTAAAGATGGATATAAAAGACAAATTTAACCATCCAGAGAATGTTTTGAATTCAAAGATATCATAAGAAGAACCTGGTTGTTGAAAGCAGAGTCGCTGAGTTTCTTGCCAAATGCATCCAGTTCCTTCTGAACGATCTCCTTTCGGTCTGGCAAGGTAAGCTGCCCCAGCGTAAACAGGAGCGTCCCTTTTTTCTTGGTTAGTGTTTGTAACAGAGCTGCTTTAGACGTGATGCTCACAACCAAACAGACACCCTGTTAAGACCAGGATTATTTCAGATTAACTGCAGTTAAAACTGAAACATAACGAAAGTAAATAAATGGATGAGCAGCCCTGCACATTACACATATAAAGTTTATGTGTTTATAAGTTTATGAAGACAGGGATGAAAAAAATTATGGGGAGTTTTTCACCTGCACATAAGATTTCGTTTTTGCAGGTCATCAACTTTCAAATATTTTAATGCAAAATAAAAGTTGTGCACACCAGAGAATAAAGGGATCTATTCGATTAAGATGGGCTGTATCTGAACTTATAATAAGTAAAATTGCAGCAGGTCCCTTGAAATAAATGTATCTGAGTTGCAAATCTTTGCTATTTTTTTTTTATGTATGATGAAGCACCTTTTCTCCCCAGGTGACCCGTGGAAGCTGCTGTGGGATCCAATCAGAGCTGACCTGACCTCTGCCATCCTGGACAAGATCTGCCCCATCAACTAGCAGCACCAGAGGTTTGTTCCTCTTTATATTACTTAATGTGGAGTGAAACTCTGACAGCAAATCTCTGAGAAAAGGAAGAAAAAAAAATCGGTCATGAAACAGACAGCTGGAAACCACTGTAAGGGAACAGATTACATGACCAAAAAGTTACTTACTTATACGAGTGAGGAAAAGGCGATTCCTCCTCTGTGCCCTTTATCTTTCTCAGCCACTTAACAAGACACCGAAGGAGTTTTTCCACAGAGTGTGCTGATTGGCTGGCGGCTGTAGAGTAAGAGATTACATCGCAGACGAGGTTTTTCTTGGACTTAACTCCAGTCCTGAGGGCCTCAGCTAGAGCAGCCTGTGTGTGGAAACAATAAATATACATTTAGGTCAGAATATATTTGACCATATGAGCTCTGAATACCAGCTCAAAAGATAATGAAACAAAATAAAAATATCAAGATACAAAGTTCGAGTTGAGGGTCAGGTGTGAAATCTATGGTTTTCGGGGGGTTTTATGGTTATTTTTTTAATCGTTTTTATCGTTAACTCGGTTTCCTTGGGTCTTTTCCTGTGTGTTATGAATAAATCTTCCTAAAGACTAAGTACGTGAACTCAAACACATTTCTTTTCAGATGAAGATGTTTGGCCTCTTATGAGAATTGGGATTGCCTGGTACAGAGAATGAAACCATTCCTTACCTAAACGTTTTTGAGCTTGAGTCTTTGAGAAGTGCACAACATAATAACTGACTGTTGGCTTGTTATGCAACTTGGAGCGGAAACTGCCAATCAATTAATCAATTAGTTACAAGCAAAAATGCCAGAAAATCTACCTTGTTCTAAAACATTCAAAAAGTTCAGGCACCATAATCAATTTTGATGCCTTCATGTGGTGTTTCTTTCATTATGTCCACCTCCTACACATGCAGCAGGTTAAAAGTCTTTCAGAAATTTACCATGAAGACAGTTTTGCCTTCTCCAGGTCCTGCCTCCACCACAATCATCCCTCCTTTGGTCTGGGCCTGCTCCACCAAATCCACAGCGTTAGACAGGAGCTTCGACCTGCCAAAAAACTGCCTCTGCATCGCCTCCTGGTGGACCTCCTGCTCCAACACCTCTGATGCAGCCTCAGCCTCCTCAGCCTCCTGTGAGATGTGTAATTATAAAGTGTTTATTGAGCCGATTAGTAAGGTGCAGCATTGCAGAAAATCTAAGAATAAAGATACTGAAGTGAATCATTTCAGAAGATTCTACCTCTACAAGCAAAATCAGAGCTTATCAGACTCACGTCGACAAACAGCTTTTTGACAGCCATCCAAAGGTCCTCCAGCACAGCGTTGCCAAAGTCCTCCAAGTTTTTCAGATATGGTTTCCCATCCACAACGCCTCCCCACTCACACGAATAACTATACCACAGAGAAATTTAGTGAAATGTGGTTTCATTTCTAAAAGCTGAATGCTAACTGACTCTTTCAAGACTGAAAAGCAGGAACAAAACAAGTTAATTTTCTTATTAAATTTAATTTAAATATTTAATTTATCCAATAGAAATCCAAACAGAAACCTGGACATTTCCAGGCGACTCTGTTCATATAAAAGATATCCTTTATGACTCTAATTTGACAATAATTAACATCAAGACATCAAACTTATCAGTTATTTATTATGATCTGTGGGGTGAAACACATAAATAAGTAAAATACAACTGGTGCAATTTGCAGACCTTTTCCCTATCTGCTCCTCTTTTAAGGCTTTTAACTTTGGTACAAACATAACATTTAAGACCAAAAAACAAAAGCAGAGAGCATATAGTGAAAGAGCTACTTAGATTATGGCTTTAGTGTTATAAGCATGACTGAGACAACTCACTTTTCTGTGACCTTGACATCACTGGACAAGAGTCTTCCCTTCAGAGAGGCCATTTTATGTGCAGCGTCCGTTGATTCAGGAGCAAAATGTGATCTCCAAGCCACAGGAACTGAACTGAACACCAATAGAAATACCGGATAAAGTAATGTGATGCATTTCTGCTATACTGCTGTTGGACTGCTATACTTAAATCAACCCCCCAAAACAAAAACCCAACATGTATAAAATGTATAAAAACATCAGATTAAAATATTAAACTACATACTTGATGATATTCGGATCTCTAAAGTAGCAAAGCATTCGCTGGTGTGCTACGTCGGGATAAAGAGCCTGAAACTGACGGATTTCCATCTCTGTGATGGACAGACCTGCTGGGGCTGAGGCCAGCTGCAAAGAATACATTATTCATCTTTCAGTTCAACTCAGATTTATAACTTAAAACAAAAGTCATCATTAAATTTAGTTTGTACATCTTAACATGCCAGGTATGTGACACATTTATTGTTATGCTTGATGTTTTTGTCTCTAATGTTATGCACTACTACAGCACTTTAGGTTTCTTAACCTTCATGTAATCACTAATATGAATAATCACTCATTTCACAAGTTATATAAAGTTATTAAACACCTATCGAAGTAACTATCATCAATGAAGTTAATTACTGTGCTAATTTATCTCCTTGAGCCTGGTTCTGCTTGAGATTTTTTCCCTGTTAAAAGGGAGTTTTTCCCTCCCAGAGTCACTAAGCCTGTCCTTATAGAGTGTCAGGTGCTTGTTGGTCCATCCATCCATGCATTCGCTTACGCTCATCCCTTTCGGGGTCAGCTGGAGCTTATCCCAGCTGTCTTAGGGCAAGAGGCAGGGTACAGAGCCAGTCTGTCGCAGGGCTAACACATAGACAAAGACCTCAATTAACCTAACCCCACTAAGTGCATGTCTTTGGACAGTGGGAGGAAGCCAGAGTACCCAGGGAAAACCCACGCAAACACGGGGAGAACATGCAAACTCCACACAGAAAGACCCTGGACTGATGGTAGAATTGAACTCAGGACCTTCTTGCTGTGAGGCAACAGTGCTAACCCCCGTGCCTGTTGGTGTTTCTTTTTAATATTTTAGGGCCTTTACTTTACAATATAAAACACTTTGAGGCAAACTGGTTCTCACAGAGACTGCCTTTATAATATGCTGCTCTTGGTATCTAAAATTTAACATCTAATGTTATATGTATATAAATGTATATAAATATTGCATAAAGCAAGTTGTTAGTAAGATAGTTGGTACCATTTTCTACAAATGTTATAATTCATGTAGGCAGAACTCTGGTTGTTTAATGTCTGGAATATAGGATTATAATTCATTCTTGTATTGTTGGACTCAACTGTCATTTCCTTAATTATTACAAAGATTTCTTCTAAAAGATCATAACTTAATCCATTTAAGTTTAGTGTCGGTGCGACAGGTTTGGTCAATATGTTTCTGTTTGTTCTGTACTTTCCAGTATTTTCCCGTTCACATTTACAGAGCTTTTCCTGTTACGTCTGTTCCATAAGTCTTACCCAGCTGTACTGTGGGAGGTCTGGTAGGTCAGGTTTGGGGGGCACCTGACCGTATCTCTCCCCGAGGATTCCTACCAGCATCTGGCTGCGACACACCTCTGACAGGCATAACTCTGAGGCCCGCTCAGACTCCTCCTCTGTCACACCCCAACGCAGTTCTACCTCTTGCAAGTAGAGGCAGTGTGGTGCAGCGCGCCGGCGTAGCTCTGGGAAGACGCTCCGCACCAAGATGTCGCGTTCAGAGTGCATGTCTCTGAATGTGGAGGAGATGAACACCCGCACACCTTGCCATCTGAGGATGGAGGGAGGAACTACAGTTAAACTAATGAGGAGAAATAGGGGGGGGAAAAAAACAGCTTAAAATGTAAAACATACCTTAATTTTGGGCTTGTTGGTATTGAGACCACATTGCTCGTGGTCTGAGAGTGTTGACCCCCCTCTGGTGGAGGAATGTTATATAATTTGTCCAAATGCTCCACGTGATCGAGCAGCCTGGAAGATCCTCTCTCTGCCACAAACCTGGTCAAATAGTGAAAAAAAGAATTAGGGAGGAAATATTTATTGACTTTCTTGATAACTATAAACATTTGTTGTATCCACACAATAATATGCAGCTGGTCATCTTAGCTTAGCAACAACTAGAAACAAAGGAACACTAAAGGCAGGTTCTGTCTATGGGAGGGGCACACTTTCGGTGTGACCAGCTGCCCCTTCCACTTAATCACTGGACGTTCCAGTGGAAAAACCTTTTTTAAACCTTAAATTCTGTCATTACATTATACAATGTAAGGTTTTAAAGCCTTACTTTAAATAAAAATCCTTATAAACTTTGTTAATCTCATCCAAAACTTATAAGGATCCTTTTAAATTGGTTTAACTGCTGAAAACGTGCAGTTTTCATGTCAGGATGAAAATAAAAGTTCATTTAACTTATGCTTCCTCGAGGTGTTTCCAGACGCCTGTGATGTGCTTCCAGAAGCACATTGACAAACATCTTCAACAGTGAGTGCTCAGTACAGGTCCTAGCTGGAGTTTTACGATGTTTCTTCCCATATATTTTGCATCTTTCCACTGTAACTCTAATAATAGTGTTGAGATAATGGCTTAACAGGGTAACCTGCTGCTATTATTATTAGTTTTTCAGGACATTAAACAAATGTGATATTACATTTTATTCAAGAGGCTCTTTTTCTCCAGCTTCATGTTAAGCTAAGCTAACCAGCTGTTGATTCCAGTTTCACACTCAACCAAAAAAAAAAAAATAGAAGTGGCATCAATGGTTTCATTGTGGCAAGAAAGTAAATGATCATATTGGCTAAAAGATGAATGATGACTAAACATCAAGTAAAATAAACGCTTGTTGTTATCAGTATTATTATAACACCTTACTGTGCCAATGGATGCAACATTTATATCGTTTGTATGAATAATACAAAATTATGCATTTTACCTCAGCACCTGCTCACTGAAGCCTGTCAGCACTACGTGGTTCCTGTCGAGGGTTTCTGAGTTTCCATGACTAAAACCAAACATTGCAAATTATTGCATATTTGAGTTTTATCATCCCAGTGATGACTGTTTTTGCTGTTCCTGACAGAACAGCAAAAATTAAAACAAACAAACAAACAAAAAAACACCATTACCTATCTGAACAAATGTGCACTACAAGGGAACTGCTGTTTATTTCCGTCCTGTAGTTCCTGATGGCAAAGCTGACTTCTGTACTTAGCCAGGACTCAGACAGCACGATGATGTTGCTCACCTGAGGTTTCAAAAGTATTTAAGTGAATTTAAGAAAGAAACTTATGTGAGTGAACCTGAAAAGCAGGCAGAAAAACAGTACTGTGCCACCTTCTTACAGGAGCTGTAGACACTCATCTGTGCCATGTACAGGCAAGAAAAATCCTGCAACTGTAAAGCTCATGACCCATCAAGGCAATGAAAACAGTAACTTAAGTCTATTATTAAAGCTGCTGTTTGTGAGTGAAAGGTGAGAAGTTAACAGTAGGGATACAGCAGGATTATTTAAAAACGAATCATATTAAATATTTTTGTTAGAAAAATAAAAAACGATATGGCAGAGAGTACGAAAATACAGTTCAGAGAGATGTTAGAGAAAGCGTGAAACAGAAAACTGAAAGTGTAGGTGAAAACAACTCCTGTGTTGCACCTCTGCAGGCAAACGCATCATCACAAACTACACATGAAAAATAAACTAACCTTTTTGCTCTTTAATATTCTGTTAAAGTAAGCAGAGTCACCTTCTTCAGAGTTGTCTTCATAAATGTTCTGCAAAAGAAAACAAACTTTATAGCAGTTTGCACAGTTGTCCTCTATCAACAACTATAAGTATAGTTTACCATGTTTGGTTTAAGAACAATAATAATAGCAATAATCTTCATTACTCAAATCAAAAACAAATAAAGAATAAGATGCTATAACAGAATATGGACCTTTATTTGCTTGAGCACACTTCTGACATTTTCCAACAGGACATCAGACTTCAGCTTTGCTTCTTTCCACTGATTGGAATAAGTTATGCACAACTCACAATCCTCTGTACTGCTGGAGATCATCAGAGCGAGCAAAACTGCAACCTCCATCTTCTGTCAAGATACATGATAAATAAATGGGTGGAGAGGTTAACAGGTTCCGTCATTTTAATATGCCAAACTTTTTCCAGACACAAAAAAAACAAATAAATAAAAATACAGGGAGTTACACTTGGAGTGAGTTTGTCAGGATCCTCGATATTCGTCTTCCTGCGTTTCGGTTTTGGGTTTTCTGCCTCTTTTTCTTCATTTTCTTGTTCCTCTGGGTCAGGAGGCAGGCAGAAGTCCAGTTTCTGGATCGCAGACTGATCGTAATAGATGCCCGGAGAGAGCAGGATGAGTGTCCGTCCAGGGAGCGGAGGCACGTTTTGACGACAGGAGATCTGAACGGCAGTCTCCAGAGCTTTACGGTAACGGTCCAACAGTGCAACAGTGTAGTTCCTCTGACTGCACACATACAGAAAACTTTAGTCTTACACTCTGTGCAGATTGATTCTTTTTCTCACTACCAAATACATTTTAATCTGAACAGATCTGCAACAACATAAAACATTTTCAATCTCATTATAAGCAGTTTTGTGGCAGTATATAATTACATTTTCTTCATGTGATGCTTTTGTAACCTGTGCATCACTGCAAAAGCAAATTATATATAGAAAATATCCAAACAATGCAGTGTAAAGATTAGCAAACCAGGAATGTTTTTGTTTGTTTTTTTCCAAAATTAACTAAAGCTAAAAGGAAAAGTAATTATCACCAAATCACAAATAACATTCACATACTTGGCTTTTATGAGTTGGGCCTTCTTCATTCTATACATTCGAGAGATAAACGGCACCCTGAGTGTCAGCCTGATCCTGCTCTTTTTAGTCGTTTCCCACGTCAGCCGCTGTAAGCGCTGGCTTTTGGGAATCTTCTTCAGGATGTCCATCAGGATCTTGTTGGCAGAGGGTAGTTGTTGCTGTGCTGCAGAGGCTAAAAGAAAAAAAGATTGAAAGGAGAAGTGCTATGTGTGTTTTTTTGTTTTTCACAGATGTTTACACCTCATCTATGGAGGGTTTTGCGTCATTTTGCTGACATATTTTAGTTTAAAACTGGTCACATAAACTTAGCAGAAAAAGTATGAAAATTTGTGTGTGGTCGATTAATTCTTAGTTGTAACAATGCTCTTAGCAATAAATCTTAAACTGTTGGAAAGCCTGTTTATTTCACATTAAATGGTCCTATTTTTGTAATGAAAATGTATTTGTGGGTTGAGCAGAAGAGTTGAGTAACCTCCCAAAATTTCTCTGCTAATCACAAACAACTTATTCTGCTATTGACTCTTGCTTGGTGTAGTTTATTGGATTGGATGCCTGAAGTTGATTCAGATTGTAAACTCATTGCTTACAGTCCACATGTTGCAGACACCAGTACAATTGGGCCTAACAGTAAAGGGCAGACATGGCAGCCCTCTCAGACTAGAGACTGGCTGTTCCCAATTGGCCCCCAAGACTGTAGAAGACTGCCTACAGTTCCTAGTGCTGCCAGGATGAGGAAACTGTCTTCCTGTGTTATTGTCTTCTTGGGATGCCCTCTTCATGGCCCATCTCTGACATCCACCGTTGAAACTTGGCCTTCAAGTTTCAACGGTGAAACTTGAAGGCCAAGCCTTTGGAGATGGTACTAGGGCTCACTTCAAATAATGCTGCAATTTGGTTTTGGGGAGTAAAAGCTGGAAGTTGCCCTATAGCACAGGCCCTAACCAGATCAGAACTGATATGAATTCAGCAATTGCAATTCCATTGTCAATATCAATTATCAATTTGATTTATTAGTCATTTTCATCGGCTCTGCTTTGACAGCCAACACCATCTCTAAGCAGCATATCAAAGGCATTGCATTTTTGCAAATAAATTGCATGCTCTGCGGTCAAATGTTTGTGAATGTTGGAGGTATTTGCTGTCTTTGTTGTAAATGGTGTTGTGATCATTATTTAAAAATGTAATGTATTACACATATCACACAAAACACTTTTCATAAAAGGTAATGCAGTGTGTTACCTTCTCCTGTGAGCAATTAAGTAATTCATTATACTACTCGTTCTGTTACTTTTGTGCAACTTTCATGCTGAAACGCACTGTCACATAATAACCAGTTAATAGCATAAACCTTAGCCTAGAGCCCCACATACAAACACAAATCCCTATCCTAATAATGACACACATATGATTTTCC